ATTGAAGTGAAGCCTTTTCAAGGTACTATGAAGGTCCATCAATATACTTGGTTAAAGGAAAATTGTGGCTTTGTATTCTTCAATTCCTTGAGCTGCTTCGACTGCCCTCCAGGCACTAAGTGTACTCATTTCTGCCTGGGTTCCATGGATTACACCATCAAAATAAACTCCCAAGCTCCATTTCGAAAGCCCCAGAGAAAGAAGGATGAGTCAAGAATTAAAGAAAAGAGTAAGAATAAGAGTGCACTCCCAAAATTCACGCCCAAAGCTCTTTCGGGTCCCCCTCCCCCTGTGAGGAGAAGTTCAAGGTGCGCGTTTTCTATATCAAATTTGATTTTTATTCTTCCCTCTCCTGCCTCCATTTCACTTATCCCCTACTCACGCACCCCTCTGCCCATTCCATCATGCCCACCCACTCCTCTGTCCCCTCATCTCTCCCCCACGCACCCCACATGGCAAACGTCTGTTTTACTGGGCCTAATTTTCTCTGTAGTTCTTTTGCTAATTTTTCTCGTTTTTCTTGTCTCGTAATTTTCAGGATTGCAAAGCAGTAATTGAGCCCTCCCTCTCCGATCGATATGAATTAACTATTTATGTGTATAATGATTCTTGTCTCTTTGTGGTAGCTTACACATAAGCGTTAGTGTTGAGTCCAAAATTGCTCTGTGATGTAGTTTATAATAAAAAACAGAAGTTATCACATTTACCTCGATAAATGTGACGAAATTAATGTTTTTGTTAAATATAAATCTCAGTGGTTACTGAATAAATGGATATTTTAGAGAAAAAAATTGTAAAACAAATCAATAAAATTGTATTATCATGTAAACAATCTTTTTTGTCAAGTTTGGTTCAGGCAGTCACTACCGTGGCAGCAGAATACCATCAGTACTCTATAACTTCGAATGCTTTGGGGTTGTAGTACAGTGGTCTTCAGATCATACTTTTGGATCATGATAACATACAACAACGTAAAAAATGAATCTGTAGACGTGTTGTGGTTTGGAAAAATTTTCATCTGAAAAATAACAACTTACGAAGAATCACCCATATATGAGGAGATGTAGGCTCTGAAGAGAAACAAAACATGGATTCTTGTGGACAGACCAAAAGGGAAGAACGTCATAAAGAATCGCTGGGTTTACAAGAAGAAGACCAATGCAGATGGAATACTGGAGAGACTCAAGGCTCTACTGGTAGTCAAAGGCTGCCAACAGCGTCCAGGAATGGATTATTTTGAGACTTACAGTCCTATAGTAAGGACTGAATCCATAAGAGCTCTTCTAGCATTAGCTGCTTCACGAAGAATGACAATAAGATAATTCGACGTGAAAACTGCTTTTCTTTATGGCGCTTTGGATGAAGAAGTATTCATGGAACAACCAGAGGGTATCAGTGATCACACAGATAACGTGTGCAAGCTTCAAAGGAGCCTGTACGGATTAAAATAAGCCCCTCGCTGCTGGAACAGGACCATCACCAACTGTCTCGAGAGTTTCAAGCTGCAGCCAATGAGCAATGACAGCTGCGTGTTGAAATCGACTGATAATGATCACGGACTTCTCCTTGGTATACACATAGATGATGGAATAGTAATATCCAAGAGTGAGGTTAAAATCAATCCACTTCTGGAGCACATGAAGAGAGAGTTGGATATCAAAGTATCTTCATTGGGTATGTTCCTAGGGATACAATTCAGAAGAGACTCTTAAGGTTCAATAATTGCTTACCAATCGAACTACGTGAGTAAAATATTGAATCGATTCAAGATTACTGAAGCAAACCCAGTGGCAGTGCCGATGGACAATCATCAGGACGTTCATATGTTCGACACAGCAGATGAGAATAAAGTGATGGCTCCTTATCGAGAAGCGGTGGGTAGCCTTCTGGTTCTGGCCTTACTGACGAGGCCAGACATCTCCTACTCGGTTAATCTGGTAAGCCAATTTGCCTCAAGTCCACGTAAAGTGCACTGGAACGCAGTCAAGCGTATACTCAAATATTTGAAAGGCACTGTTATTTACGGTATTAAATTTGAAGCTGACAACAGGGAGTTACAGCTAGTGGCATACGGCGATGCAGACTTTGCTGGGGATACAAAAACGAGGAAATTCACCACTGGATACCTGGTGAAGATGGGAAACTCTCCAGTCATCTGGGGGTCATCTAAACAAAGACTCATGACTCTCTCAACTACGGAGGCGGAGTACATGGCAGCTTGCATGCCACTCACGGAATTAGTCTGGGTGAATTCCTTGCTTTTAGAGATGACTAACATGCCAATCATAAGGACCGAGCTGTACGTAGACAATCAGAGTGCCATTAAATGGCTGGAGAATGGCAATTATCTCACAAAGTCCAAACATGTGGACGTGAAGTATAAGTTCATTGCTGAGAGCTGCAGACTGCATAGGATCGGCTACAAGTACATTCAGACTGATAAACAGTAGACCGACCTTCTCACCAAGCCCCTCCCAAGGTCAAGATTTGAGAAACTACGCAAACTAGCGGAAGTAATTCAAGTCCAGTAAAACAATTCCAGTAAACGGATAGTAGATCTCTCTTTTTGATTTCTTTTTATTTTTGATAATAATCTCATTGTTGATTAATATGTAAATTGAGACATCAACATTTCTTTTTTTTTGTTCATAAACTTTTTTGCTTTCATGATTAGCAAAATACAATTCAGTGGGAGTGTCGAGAATTATGAATTGTCTCTTGTGGTTAAACGGGGAGTCTGGGTTATCGACCATGCAATCAGATGCCCTCATGATATCTCGCCATATTGTATAATCATCATAACATATAACACAAAATATGAATAAACGTGTTCTCTAGTTCAGCATAGATCTAATCGTCAATGTTTAATTACATCCCTGTGAAATCAAATAACTTTTCATAACATCTAGCAACAATTTCAGTTTTTTTCTGCAGTCGGCTTGTACTGTTGCAATTTTGAACTCATCAGTGGCAACTCAATATTGTCTATTCCTGTGAGTTACGGAGTGGGTACGATCATCAAAAGTGTGGCTATCCACACAAAGTCAATGATAAAGATTGTCAACACGAGTGTTTCTTAAAAAAAAAATTGTTCAGAATATTCTCAGGACCAACGTACTTGGCGTGGTTTTTTGAAACACTCATTGCGGAGAATTGTCGCTTTATGTTGACACCATGGTCGAATGAACCTTCTCCATGCTTTTGTATCGCGAATGCCGATAACTATCTGGCTATCACTACCTTAATTAATTTAATTTCTATTCATGAAAATGGAAATATTTGAAAATGGAAAAGAATAAACTTAAGGCATTAACTTGAACTATCCGGCAATTCCATCCAACACAATCACACAATTGACTATCTAAAGATTTCAACACCTAGTAAGGTGTAGTATGCTTCAAAGCAATTTCTGAGTTCCAAAATGGATCTCAAATCTCAAACAATAGACTTCCAAATAGGGATCCGCATTAAGATAAAAAACTAAGCCAAGTACGTTGGTCCTGAGAATTTTCTGAACAATTTTTTTTTAAAGAAACACTCGTGTTGACACTCTTTTTTATTGACTTTGTGTGGATAACCACACTTTTTATGGTCGTACCCACTCCGTAACTCACAGAAATCGACAATATTGAGTTGCCATTGATGAGTTCAAATTTGCAACAGTACAAGCCGACTGCAGAAAAAAACTGAAATTGTTACTGGATGTTATGAAAAGTTCTGTCGTTTTTCAAAATCACAAGTGCAACTTCATGAACTTGGCGCTATTCCGTATTTATGTACTTTTTTCAATTTCCCAGAAACAATTATCCATAAATAAGTACTCGGGCATTTTTCCACAACAACGCATTGAAATGGTTAGTCGGCATTTTTTCCATTTTTTTTCTGAAAAACAATACAATTTTTTTTGAAATTTTGTTTTGCTGAGGAACTCCATTTTTTTTGGAAAAAATACAATGCTTACAAAGGCGCACTTGGCCGATTTTTTCAAAAAAAATTTTGTTTTTGTTTTTGGAGGATTCACATTTACTGCAGGAGATATGTCAGGGATAAGAATCAAAATGATCGCAGGAATCATCTCGTTGGAACTACAATTCCCTCTATTTGCTCCTGTATCTAGAGAAATGCCACACAATGAGAGGAAGCTAGTTACCAATATTTCAACAGTTTTAGTATGTAGCAATGTTTTAATACCACAAGAGTTCAGTAATGGAATGATACAACCTAACAATTCTAATGGTAATTTTTAATTAATTATCCAATTATCATCGAAAAAGGAATGTAAACCAATCTGAACTAAATGCTGCATGACATAATTTTAGGGGTTCCACCAGCCGCTGTTTGCTCTTCTTCCCTGTATTCGCCATAACACTATATAATGTAAGACACTGTTGGCAATTCTTGCATGCGAAAGTGAGAATTCGAGTTGCGCTGCCAACTCAATGGCTTGAGTGTGATCGTTCTCAATGAGAAGATAATGGGAACGCGAAAAATGTGTATACCAGTTCGTTGCTATGTGCATATCTTCGTAAATATTGAACGGATTAAATTAATAATTGCATCAGTCGAAAGCGGATTGCTGATTTATATAGTGTAACTCAGCACAGTTTTCGTCGAAGTGGGCGCATTTTTTATTAATTGACGGAAAATCAGTTGAGGGTAGTGGACGGGGAAGTTGTGTCGTGTATAGATACTCGGTAGCTCTTGTCGTTTTGTTGTGAGGTTATGAGGCGTGACTTGGCCGATACGCTACCGCGTATCTCGATTGTCGTGCATATATCAATCACTATAAATATCCTATAATACTCGACTAATTCGATCAATAAACAATAATGTGCATATTTCTTCACTCTTAATGCACATGAATTTTTCATTCGTGTTTCTTATCATCATACGATCATTCACTATATCTTATCATTATACGATGCATGCTTTAATTAACAAACTTTAAAGTAATTCAACAATATTAGAAGCTTAGAGGAAAAAAGTAATCTCATAAATACCCTGTAAGCATTGATTTCTCCGCGAGGATCAGAAAGATCTACTAACTGTCTCCACGTCGCCCAGAATCCTTGGTGTTTCGCTTGTTCCCAAGTAGTTTTCAACGTGTCCTATAAATATTATTTCAACAAATATCAATTGCAGTCGTCTTTCCTGACTATGAAAATTAATCCATAATCTAGGAAAGGAAAACAGTTCTGTCGGCATAGAACAGTTCCAACCTCATTTGAGTTACGGCTGGCAAGTACATAGACTTGTGGTGGACTGTTTTCCATCCCAGACCATGGATAGAACTTTTTTCGGAGCTATTTCACATTTTTCTTTACAACCTGGAGGAAGGCTCAACCGTCTAGTGCAACGATATAAAGGTGGAAATAACTCCTGAGTTTTCATGCATATTGCCTCCATCACCCCCGCACGCCCCCGCGCTTTATCGACATAACGAGTTCACTATCACTTCCTTCTCGCTCATGAGAGTACAGTCGACTCCTCGACTCTTCCTAGCTTTCCAATTCTCTAGCTCTCCGGGCGTCATTAAGCGAGGAAACTATCGCCAGTCAATATAGGTATGATTTGGGACACGGGAGAGAGGGAGAACTCATTCTCAGGCTATTACGTTCTTGCTCGAATACTTGCAGTATTTCTATCCTAAGACGCGCCCCTTACGTGAAGAGAAGTTGCGATCTGTAGATTTCTCTACCATTCTTTGAATCCTGAGTCCCGAACGTGGAGAGCTCCCTGACGGATGACTTGATATGAAATTTAAGTTGTTCACTCAGTCGAGTGCTAGGAATGTATCTCTAACCATTACGGCACAATTCACTATACCATTTGATTACGGCACGTTTCATCACAGGAACAGTTGATTACGGGCAGAATTATTAGGTGTACAAATAAGTTTTAGGACACTTCGATTCCGTGTCATGAAGATAATTCAAAGTTACCGCTTACATATGATATGGTAGGGTTTGTTATGTAGTATCAAAACATAAGGGAGTCATAAACATAACCATGAATTCTGTGAATAAAACATGCAGACCGATAAGATATTTATTAGACACTGCATTCGCTATGAATTCCATTAAGGAAAAACTGTTAGGAAAGCGTGTCAATCGATTTGTTCTGTTCTTGGGGATAACATTGTATCTAAAAGTACATGTGAGTATTGGTATAAGCGATTTAAAGAAGGTGATTTCGACGTTAGTGACCGTGAACGTACCGGGGCCCCTGTAAGGGTGGATGACCAGGGACTGCAAACGTTGCTGGATGAAAACTCTTGCCAGGCGGAAAAACATCTTGCAAAACATCTTGAAGTAACTAAACAGACCGTTTCCTATCGCTTAAACGCAATGGGAAAGATTAGAAAATGAATAAAATGGGTGCCATACTTTTTGACTCAAGAAGATAAAGATATCCAACTTGACATATGTCCAAATCTTTACAATAAGCAACATAGAAAGTCTTTTTTGTGGAAAATTATGACCGGCGATTAAAAGTGGATTTATTTTGATAATCCAAAACGCAAATATCATTGGGTTAACTCGGGCGAGCCGACAGCATCGACACCGAAGCGCAATATTTACTGTAAGAAGATCATGCTGTGTATATGGTGGGATATGAAAGGCGCACTGCATTATGAACTTTTGAAGTCTGGCGAGACAGTTACTGCCGATCGCTATCGTCAACAATTAATAAGATTGAAGCATGAAATTGAACAAAAAGGTCCATTTCCCAGCAAAGGAAAACGTCCAGTAAAATTGCTCCATGACAACGCCAGGACTCATGTGGGTAAACCGGTCAAAGATACGTTATTGGCTCTTGGATGGGAAGTTGTGCCACACCCGGCGTATTCACCAGACTTAGCTCCAACTGATTTTTACTTGTTTCGGAAGATTCAAAACGAATTGACTGATGTGCGATTCAAAACATTTGAAGAAGTGCAAAAATGGGTCGATAATTTCCTCGCCTCGCAGAATGAAACTTTCTTTGCAGAAGTCATCCGTGAATTACCTAACAGATGGCTGAATGTCATTCAAAATGATGGAGATTATTTTGATGAATAAATNTATTAGGTGTACAAATAAGTTTTAGGACACTTCGATTCCGTGTCATGAAGATAATTCAAAGTTACCGCTTACATATGATATGGTAGGGTTTGTTATGTAGTATCAAAACATAAGGGAGTCATAAACATAACCATGAATTCTGTGAATAAAACATGCAGACCGATAAGATATTTATTAGACACTGCATTCGCTATGAATTCCATTAAGGAAAAACTGTTAGGAAAGCGTGTCAATCGATTTGTTCTGTTCTTGGGGATAACATTGTATCTAAAAGTACATGTGAGTATTGGTATAAGCGATTTAAAGAAGGTGATTTCGACGTTAGTGACCGTGAACGTACCGGGGCCCCTGTAAGGGTGGATGACCAGGGACTGCAAACGTTGCTGGATGAAAACTCTTGCCAGGCGGAAAAACATCTTGCAAAACATCTTGAAGTAACTAAACAGACCGTTTCCTATCGCTTAAACGCAATGGGAAAGATTAGAAAATGAATAAAATGGGTGCCATACTTTTTGACTCAAGAAGATAAAGATATCCAACTTGACATATGTCCAAATCTTTACAATAAGCAACATAGAAAGTCTTTTTTGTGGAAAATTATGACCGGCGATTAAAAGTGGATTTATTTTGATAATCCAAAACGCAAATATCATTGGGTTAACTCGGGCGAGCCGACAGCATCGACACCGAAGCGCAATATTTACTGTAAGAAGATCATGCTGTGTATATGGTGGGATATGAAAGGCGCACTGCATTATGAACTTTTGAAGTCTGGCGAGACAGTTACTGCCGATCGCTATCGTCAACAATTAATAAGATTGAAGCATGAAATTGAACAAAAAGGTCCATTTCCCAGCAAAGGAAAACGTCCAGTAAAATTGCTCCATGACAACGCCAGGACTCATGTGGGTAAACCGGTCAAAGATACGTTATTGGCTCTTGGATGGGAAGTTGTGCCACACCCGGCGTATTCACCAGACTTAGCTCCAACTGATTTTTACTTGTTTCGGAAGATTCAAAACGAATTGACTGATGTGCGATTCAAAACATTTGAAGAAGTGCAAAAATGGGTCGATAATTTCCTCGCCTCGCAGAATGAAACTTTCTTTGCAGAAGTCATCCGTGAATTACCTAACAGATGGCTGAATGTCATTCAAAATGATGGAGATTATTTTGATGAATAAATGTAGTTTACTTTTTTCGAAAATGAATTTTGAATTTTTTGCAAAGTGTCCTAAAACTTATTTGTACACCTAATAATTCTAATACAACTTCATTGCAATTCATTCAATACAATTTAATTACAAATTTTAAAAAAATGGTGGTTCTGCATAACAATTCAATAATAATACACTCAATTCCAAAATCCCTCCTGCATGGATAATTCCACTTTTCCCAGCACAATCAATTCCAAAATGAATACCAACAATGATTCATCACAATTCCTTTAAATACCGATTTTCAAAGGTTTTCCTACACAATCACATAGCCATTCAGGTAAGAGTATTACAATGGTGAATCGTACCATAATCCAAGCATCTCCACAGAATTATATTAGTGACAGGATGTTCACGTAATTTATTAAACAAAAACTCCTTATGAGAAAGCGATTTCTTGCCTATCTGACTCAAAACAAAGTGTAGAGGCATTTCGACATTCACACAGCACTAGATCCTTGCGATAAATGGCACTTGGTGTCCCACTGGACTTAGGTACCTCATCACCCACCGTTAATTTCTATTTAAAGGCGATAACAGGGAAATCAATCACATACCGACGAATTAAATCTTTGCATTTGAATTGAAATAAGGTGAAAATAGAAGCCTTGAATTCAAATCTAAATTGGTGAAGCTCGCAATAATCAATAACTCCGTGATGAATTGTCCCTACACTTAAAAGCACTGTAAGGAATTTTGCCAGTAATGAGTTGTTGTAATGAAATGTGCTGTAACTACACACAACTGTAATCAATAGAGGTAATACCGAATGCTACTCGGCCAGCGGTCAAATGATAGACCATCGATCGGCTGACAATCAACTAGCAATCGAGCAAAAACTGACCATCGACCGTCGATAGATCATCAATCGACTAAGAACCGACCATCTATAGACAAACCATCGACTAGCATTCAGCCAATGATCAATCGGCCATCGACCGAATGAACGATTCAACCCCCTCTTGAGTCACTGTCTTGAGTGATCGATCGATCTGCCGAGGGTCAGGAGAGTCGACTGTACTATTTTTTCTGAATTATATAGAGAGCTTCATTATAGCTTTTCATTCAAGTTAAATTCTCACCTTCAGATCAAGCCATATCGGTGAAGTAAAAAAATGCTTAACAGCCTCAGTGACTTTGATTTCCTCTCCCTCACTATCAGTGAGGGTCGCATTGAAGTAAAAGTAGCTGGAGAAGAGTGTCCAGAAAATGATCACAGAAATTGTGTAAGCAACAAGAGATCGTGCGACTGAAGGCTTCTTCCTGGGTTTCAGTTTCCATTCCTTGCAGAATGTGTCGAATACCAATGCGACTACGACGGCGACAATATTGAGCCAAGTAGATTCATCACCGATGTAGTAGAGCAGAGGGTACATGATGTATGCAGTGAGTAGTGGTAGCCATATCGATCCTTGTTCTCTTCCAATATTTCCTACTACCCATACACCTTGGAAAAAAAAGAAGATCGAGATCATCAAGGGGATTAACAGTTATTTATCGTGTAATGAAGTCTTGACACATTTCACCATATTCCACTACTCAATTGTTTTTCGAAGAAGAGAAGTGAAAGGAAAATGAGTGGCGAACAAACGTACTAAACAAATGTATTTCTATATAAAACGTATTTATTCTCTATTATTTGATACAACTCATCTCTCTGCATCGTTACACATCACGACGTACCTCAACGAATCTCTACAGCACCACTAGTGGTGAACATATAAATTGCAATAGTATCAAATGAGTGACAAGTAATTGACGCCATATTTCAACACTCCCTCCCGACATTATCTGTCATCTTCTAGTCTTTCTCTCATCTAATTTAATGAGCTGATCGCATCTCTCAATTCTCGGTTTTTCCTTAAGCATAGATATCTGCTAAATGAACAGAAAATAAGACATTATGCAATGATTTTCATAATTCAATCAATCAATCTTTGGTGGGACTCAAAATCAAGGGGTTTTGTAAATACGTCAGCTAATTGGTCCTTGGAACTAATCTAATAGAATCACCAAATAATTTAATCATACAGTACCATATCGTAAGAGAATTTTACAATCAGTAAAACAAGCATTAGAGTATCCATAAATCTCATTTATCTTATCCAACTACGTTGATCTTCAGCTAATAGTTCCTGTCAAAGATCTGAAGAGCCTTTTGACCATTTGTCCATCATTTTTTGTATGATCAATTTGATGTCGAGAAGACTCCATGAGGCTTCTGTGTATGGAATATTCTTCTTTGTTTCAGTTCTTGCCAAAAGCTCGTCATCATAATCTGTGTCGCTCACCTTTCTCTCATTGTTAGTAGCTTGGATACTATTCATTGGTGTTTTTTTGTAGATGGGACTCACTAAATCCAAACCTGTTTAGTATTTTCTCTGCATATTTTTCTGGCTTAATCTGATTCTCGCTATCTCTCATAATCAATCAATCACCAAGTATAGTCATTTCAAATGCAAACCTGAATAAAATATCATCTACATAAAATTGGAAAATCAATCATTTGCTCTGACCTTTCAAGTAAACAAATGTGACTATAAATCAGAATTTTGCAGTTTCACAGTCAGTGCAACTTCTGTGAATATTACACTCTTTGATTTTGGACTTGTCCGAAGTCCAAAAAGTGCTTTCTATAGCTTACACACCTCTTCTCTCTTTATCTCATCAGAATTATTTTCTGGAATGTCCATAAAAATGTCCTCATAAATCTCACCATTCAGGAAAGCAGTTTTCACATTTAATTGAAATATATTAAAATTAAATTTATTGACAATAGCTAGTACTGTTCTTACCAATGGTAATCTTGAATTGGTGCAAATCTCTCGCTAAGCTCATGAACGTTGCTCAATTTTTCCATTTAAAAACCCGTTTAGAGTCTTAGGTGTTCGTTTATCATTTTTCTTAGGAGTACTGTCAACTAATTTTCAAACTTAATTCCATTCCATAGAACTCAACTCTTCGTAAAGTGCCCTCTACCAGATCCCCTACTATATTTTCATCATTCACAGTTTATTGATACTTAATCAAGTCTGAATTAATACTTGATGATAACGCATGATAAACTTCGTCTTCACCTTCAGTTACATCAGTTTCATCTTCAATAGTAATGCATATAGTAAATAGAAGTATGGCCTTCAATTCATCGTTGATTGGTGATATGAAAAACTGTTGTCATTTATTGTCTCAACTTCAGCAAGCATAGATTTCAAGTGTTTGGTTTTAGTAATTTTCGAATCATTTTTCTAGGCTCTTTTGATTTTCAGCTCCATATCTCTTCATCTTTAATCTCTTCACCTTCAGAAAAATGTTTCATGGTATTTCTTTGATATATATTCTCATAAATAGATTTTTAAGTAAATTTTACATTTTCACGCTCATAAAGCTTTTCTTCACTAGGTTTCAAAAATAGATTATCTGTTAGACTATATCTAAGCCAGGTAACTCTCTCACCTTCAGCTCCGAATGGCGGTCCTGTTTTCCTCTGAACATTAATGTAGGCAGGACGTCTAAACCTGCTAATCGGATTTCTGTTCACATCACTTCATGTTCCGTCACGGCAGGTACAAAGTGCACATTTCCGACGTATGCGTAAAGTCAATGAAATTTGACTTTGCGCCTACGCCGTGGCGGAAAGTAACGTTCTGACCACGGAAGGTAAAATACTATTTCACACTCCTGCGCGGAAAGATCGTACTTTGCTCTTTGATGGGCGGGAGGAAAGTGAGCACTTGTCACCTCAAGGTGGAAAGTTGTTTTCTCGGTCGAAAAGTACTGATTGTCGTCCATCCAACGGTGCAAAGTCAGTACTTTTCTCCTTGGAGAACAAGTTTCCGCTCTTGAGCGGAAAGGATTCACTTTCTTCGCGCTCATCCGAAAGCCAAATACAAACTTTTCTTGGCAGGCGTGTTAAAAAAGTGTGTGCGCACCTCCGGCAGTGAAAACATGACGTTCTCGCTCTTGATGCACAATATACTATAGATTCATGTGGAGTACGATTATATGCATAGATTGCTGCTGAAAGCGCCAGATCCCATATAAGCTCAAGAAATCTCGTGTCCTATATGAAACATCTCACCTCCTTCTGTATCGTTTGATTAAAACGGTCAGTCACTCCGCTGTGTTCAGGAATATCAGAACAAGCCAATTTATATTCTTTGCTAAATGTTTTAATCATCCCACGTGTCAACTCGTCTGTAGATGTTGTACCCCGTTATGAATTCAAATAACCCACCTGAAAATGTTCAACTGACCAATAAAATTTTTCACATTGATTTATTTATCATTATTTAGCAGTTTGATTTATAGTCTCTTCAGATAAGTTACTATATTATTTGTAAAAAAATGGCGCCAAGAAAAGTTTTGTTTGGTTCTTACTGAAAAGTGAAAATTTTTGAAAAATAAAAACAAATAAAAAAAAGCCAAATCAGAAATGTCGAGTAAATGTTCATAGGGCAAAATCAGATTTTATGAGAAGAATAGTCCTAAACTGAATAAGGATTGGAAAAAAATTCTCTATGAAATAAAAAATTAGCAGAAGCAGGACCAACGTCCTTGGCGCGGACTAGAAGATGGAGGATGAAAATAAAAATGATTAATACTAGACAGTGAGTTGAAAAACTCCGCGCCAAGGAAGTTGGTCCTGCTTCTGCTGATTTTTTATTTCATAGAGAATTTTTTTCGCATCCTTATTCGGTTTAGAACTATTTTTCTCATAGAAACCTGATTGTACCCTATAACCATTTATTCGACATTTCTGACGTGGCTTTTTTTTTATTTGTTTGTAATTTTCCAAAATTTTCACTTTTCAGTAAGAACCAGACAAAACTTTTTCTTGGCGCAATTTTTTCACAAAAACATTTGTTTTTGTTTTTTGGGGAGATTTATTCAATTTTTTCTAAATAAGCAAAGAATTGTCTTTATATTTTGTAAAAATTGTTCTTTAAGGATAATCGGGCGAGGAGGAAATGTAAGAGGTCAGGCGGAGGGGTTTCTCTTGTTTTCCTGCAGAAAACCAATCGCTGAACAAAAAAATTTTTCTAAAATTTTTTCTAATTAGGGAGTATCTCCAGTTAAAAATTATTTTTCGAGCTAATCAAATTTATTTGTATTTATTTTACGCATTGAATGGTTTTCAGATTGTTTTTTTTCCATAAATGAAAATATATTAATCCATACGAAAAAGTGGCAACATCGTCGGTAGTTTTTTTTTCACCAGGAGCTGGCACCACTGGCTCGAGGGAGCTCCAATCACAACGCTTCATCGCTCTCTCTCAAGAGACGTTTAAATTGACCGCGCTACCCCCACCCGATTAGTACTTGGTCACGTTGCTGCTCGTTTAGGCTGCGTGCGCAGAAATTTCATTTTTCAGTACTCTTTTCGCTATTATTAATTAATAATGCTCCTAGGCGACAATCTTTTTCACTCAAAAAATCATTGGTCACATGTTCTAAATGTATCTAAAGTTTCATGACTTTGGCTGCATTTTTTCCTTGGGTTTTGCAATTTTTTTTGTGATTTCCATAAGATCACGGATTAAATGACCACTTTTTCAAAAATTTATAGTAAATTAACCATGCTCCCCAGTAGTCTGAAACATTGCACACGCCTTTTTCATCATTTAGAGAATACGCAAAAAAAAAAAGAAAAAAATGACTGTTTTTTTTCTAACCCTCCCAGCTCGCCCGATTATCCTTAAAATTCAATTCAACTAATTTTCAGAAGGTAGAACATACTTTCAATTAACCATTGAAAAGAAACTAACATACTGCAGATTCATTATCACCGACTTTTAATTATTTATCCAAGATTTTCTAAGGTAAGTGTATTCTTTTGAGAGATGAATTAATTTTCCTTGCGGAAGAGCCGGAAAAAATGCTTACTTAATAGAACTTTTTAAAAAAACATCTTTTTTTTCCTGAGATATAACTAACTTTTTCTAAATAATCACAAAATTGTTTTCGTGTTCTTCGCATCTTACCGTAACCCCATTCAGAAATTTTTTCCCCACGAAATTGATAACATTTGTTGTTATCACACGATTTTTTCCAATTCGACTATCGACGAGCATGTAATACTTGATCACACGACTTTCGACAAATAGCACTCGTGTCAGATTCCGAACATAAATCATAACCTCACAAACTATCTTCATCTGCAAGGTACCGATAGAGATATGACGAGAAGAAATTCGAATTTTCGGCGAGAGAAAAAAAATTGAACACAGATTTGATTTTTCCTTTTACTCTAATAAATGATTTCACGTGAGAAAAAATATTTCTCGTGGTTCTCCATAACAACATGACAACACACGTTTGAACGCACTGGTGGGAAAACTTCGAGGTTGAATATGAGGCTCAGTTGGATCGACGCTGCTAACGTTGTAGCTTGATTCTCCGACTTTCTAATGTGTACAGTCGACCACTAAAGTTCGTGAACAACCTGAACTTGCATTCAATGTATTCTGTTTACGAACTTTAG